TCTAGTGTTGGTCCTGGTGCAGCGGGTAGCGGCCTGCCGGGCTCTGAGCTCCAGACACTCAGGGAGGGGACCGAGCTGCGGGCGGAGGCCCACGTGCCCCGGTTCTCGCTGGCGGTGCAGAGTAGGGAGTGAACAGGTGTCTGTGCGCGCCTCCTGCAGCACGTGGGCCCCGTGAGCTGAGGACGCCGGGCGGGTTTGGGCCCTGCGCGCTCCTCCCGGGCGGAACGCCCCCCAGGTGCAGCTACGGCCCCTGCCCCGGCCCCTCGGGCCACCTGGCCAGGCGCACGAGGGAAAGACGCGGGGTGCGGGTGGGGTGAAGAGGGCCAGATCGTCAGGAAAGGATGCCTGCTAATGGTATTTTGTTCGTTTCTTTGACGTTTCACAAATTGTGTCTCAAATGTCTTGGTTGAAAACCACAGAAAATCCTAACAGACTTATGAAAAAAAGTCAATTTATTCAAGTTACTGAACAGTCCCGGCGGAGACGTCTCAGGCACTGTTAGTAACGTCGTCTCATTGAGTGGCAATTTCAACAAAACGACCCTCTATTAAAATGACTTTTTATTGGATCGTTTTGTAATGTCTGTATTGTTTAATCTCGAAATCTAGTTTTGTTTAATAGTTATATAAAAGCTATAAGCGTGAGGAGTTTATACCGTTTGTACTTAAGTAAAATAAAAACTACTATGGGGTTCAGAATAATTTTTTTCCTATAAAGAGATTTGTATGTTTGTTAGTTATCCATTGCTATCTAACAGATTACTCTAAAACTCTTAAAACAACAATTTATTATCCTTCACAACTTCTGTGGATCAGGAATTGGGGAGCTACGTTCTGGTTCAGGGTCTCCCACAGAGTTGCAGGAAGACAGCAGCTGGGCTGTGGTCATCTGAGGCTTGGCTGGCACTGGAGAATCTGCTTCCTACGTGGCACATTCCCCCGCCCCCGCCAGATGGTGATGACAGGGCAGTTAGAGAAAGGCAAGCAGTCTGTTAGGACCTTCGGGAAGCTAGGGCTAGGGAAAGGCGAGAGGTGGGCAGGGCAAAGGCCAGATTATGGTCATACGCTGTGCGAAGGCTCTGGGTACTGAAGGCTCTGGGGAGGGATTTTTTCCCTCACTATAAAAGTAAAACATGATTATAAAAAGGAATTTGGAAACTACAGAAGAATATAAAGAAACTAAATCACTCGAAATACAAATCGTGTATTTTTCTTTTTTTAATTAAGAAAATTTGCAATCATGAATTTACGACCATTTCACCTTATAATAGAATCATTTTCCTATTTAATTAGTAGTCTTAGAAAATATAACTTTAAATCATGTACTCATTTGTCTACACTACAATTTCTTACCCGGCCCCCATTATTGGACAGATAAGGTGTTTCTGTTTTTCCACTATAATAATAATGGCACTTCTGTGCATAACACTTCACCTGATTTCAGATGATTTCCTTTTTAAATATTATTTTAAGCCTCTTTGTTCATAATGGTATTGTATAAATGTGTATGTCGGCCTTCAACAAGTTTTATCTAATCCCACCTACTCTGGCATTTAAAAAAATTATTTCCTAATTCAAAGAACAAAATATTTTTTATTAAAGAAATTGAATATTTTATGTTTATTACTTGTTTTTATTCTTTTGTAAATTCTCTGTGTATTTTACCTTTTAGCCATTTGTTTGGGTTCTTTATATATTAAGGGTATTAATCTTTTACATTTATATATGTCGAAAATATTTTTAGTTTTCCTGCCTTTTAATTGACTTTTAGACACAAAAACATTTAGTTTTTACAAATTCGAATCATCAATATGGTATTTTTTCTGTATTTTAAGATGTTTCTGATCATGAGATCCGATCGATATTCTTATTTAACTTTTCAATCTATGTAGAATTTATTTTGGGATACGGTGTGATGTGAGGATTTATCTTTTCCCCAATAGCTATCTATTGTCCCCGAACATTGTTTCTGTTACTTTATGATATCGCTTTAACTTATTAAAATTTTTACACATGATAGTGTTTGCTTTTGGGCCACATTTTGCATTAATCTATCTTTATTTCAGCCCCATAATACTTTAATTATTGTAGTTTTATAATATTTTGTAATCCAGATTATTAATATTCTTATTTCTCAAAAATATGTTATTTCGGATGAATTTTATAATAATTTTTCATAGTTACTGACCTCCCTGGATTTCATGTCTAATTAAAAAAAACACATGCTTATCATAATAAACTCAAATACAAATGTAAACAAAATATATAATGCTAGAATCCTCCTTTAGCCCACCAATCTTTCTCTCCAGATTTAAGCACTGTAGCGTAGATATTTCTTCTTGTACATATATCCTGAACTTTCTCAAATTCTTTACTATTCTGGTAGTGGGAAGGGAGAAGCACCTTCCCTTTTAATTCCCCAAAACGCGGTGTGTGCCCTTAACCCCTGTAACTCCTGAGAGCGTCGACCCCTCCCCTAAGCATGGGTGTTTGCTTTTCTACAAGTTCATCATTGCTGTCACTTGTCACCCTTGTTCAGACTGCTGCTCCGACTTTCCCCATCAGCCACCTCAGCCCATAACAGTTTCTTAAGGCCACAGCAGCCGCTCCTGCTTCCATCCCAAACGTGGACGTGGTACCTCTCTTTAACCCCCAAATCACAGCTAAGACATGGCTGTCACATTTAGCAGACTTTATGAAGGATTCAGGCTAAGAAAATGCAATACAGAAAGGAAAATTTAAATCTAGACGTGAGATGTAATTGCGCCTCTGGCCCGTGCAGTTTCCCTCCTGGCATCTCTTGCCTCAGCCCCCTCCCCCCACGACGCACCCCCTCCCGCCTCTGCAACTGCCACTTCCCAGGGTCTGCTCAGCTCCTCATGAGGGGCACTTCCTGCCGATCCTCTCATTCCAGTACAGGGTCCAGTTCTTTCTGCTAACTGACGAAGTCAAAATTGTCCTTGAGAGCATGACACAGGGAATGCAGTCAGCATTAATGTGATGGCTAAGTGGAGGGCCAGGGCAGCGAGGGAGCAATTGGGGAATCATTTTATGAACAATATAGATGTCTAACTAATGTACTGTATATCTGAAACGAATTTAAATAAATTTATTTTTAAAAATTGCCCTTGAAAAATCCCTTAAATAGCCGAAAATCTATAGCATGCATGGTCTTGTGTATGCGATTCTGTAGAAAGATTTAATTCTTCTAATTCTTTATCATGAACGTTTCTCTGTAGCTCTCAGCCGATCACTTTGCTCGAAGGAAACCATCTTGCCTAGTCACTTACACAATAAAGTTCACTCTTTTTGGTTAGTAGTTGAGAAACCTTTAAAACCATTCAGACGTTCTTTTCAAGGCTTTCGGGACTGCTGGCATCCTTTGCCTAGGGCACACATTGCCCGAGTAACGTGCACTATTTAAATGATTACGTCTCTATCTTTTCAAACCAATAGTTCAATTTTTTTAAGTACCTACAATGTGGCTATGAGATAACCTTTTGAAGACAACCGTTTACACCACCCGATAGGACTCTGAGCATCTCAGTCTGAAGCCTCTGGCTCTTCCGTTTTGATTACCCTACTTGCTCGGGGCTTCTCCAAGAAGAGCTGGAAAACAGCTACTGCCAAATCGTCCTACTATGTGTTCATGGAGGAGGAGGCGGCCGGTTTGAGGAGAGCAGAGTGATAAAGAGAACGACAGAGGATTAGGTTAGGGATGGAGTCTCCAGCAAGAATATGGGATAAATCATGGTAAGCAGTGTGGCTTTTACTCTGAAATGAATGGAGAGCGGGCGGCTGATGGTTTTGAGGAGAGGGGGCTTCCACGATCGGATCCCCGTTTTAGCAACCATTCCCACTGCTGTGTTGAGAACAGGCCGGTGGTGGGGCGTGGGGGTGGGGGTGGGAAACCTACCGAGGGTGGCAGAGTGAGGGCACGATGAGCATCATTTGCACCTTGAAACAAGCGGACAAGCTGGAAGCTGGCAGTGTTTCCTGACACTTCCTAAGCGGACCAGGT